GAGATGAAGACCTTCTTCCCCGAGGAGGTGTCCTCTATGGTTCTAACAAAGATGAAGGAGACCGCGGAGGCGTACCTGGGCAAGACAATAACAAACGCCGTCATTACCGTGCCAGCTTATTTCAATGACTCTCAGAGGCAGGCGACAAAGGACGCCGGCGCTATCGCTGGCCTGAACGTTCTCAGGATAATAAACGAGCCCACGGCCGCCGCGATAGCCTACGGTCTCGATAAGAAGGCTGCGGGCGAGAAGAACGTCCTGATCTTCGACTTGGGCGGTGGTACCTTCGACGTGTCGATTCTGACGATCGAGGACGGCATCTTCGAGGTGAAATCCACCGCCGGCGACACGCATCTTGGCGGCGAAGACTTCGACAATCGAATGGTGACCCACTTCGTGCAGGAATTCAAGAGGAAGTACAAGAAGGACCTGAGCCCCAACAAGAGGGCCCTGAGACGCTTGAGGACCGCCTGCGAGAGGGCAAAGAGAACGTTGAGCTCGTCAACACAGGCGAGCATTGAGATCGATTCCTTGTTCGAGGGTATCGACTTCTATACGTCCATTACTAGGGCTAGGTTCGAAGAACTCTGCGCAGATATGTTCAGAAGCACCCTCGAGCCTGTAGAGAAGGCGCTCAGGGACGCGAAGATGGACAAGGCTCAAGTTCACAGCATTGTTCTAGTCGGTGGCTCTACTAGGATACCAAAGATTCAGAAGCTACTTCAAGATTTCTTCAACGGCAAGGAACTGAACAAATCTATCAATCCGGACGAGGCCGTTGCTTATGGCGCGGCAGTTCAGGCAGCAATTCTGCATGGAGACAAGTCCGAGGAGGTCCAAGATCTGCTTTTGCTGGACGTGACTCCGTTGTCGTTGGGTATCGAGACCGCCGGTGGCGTCATGACTGCCTTGATCAAGAGGAACACAACAATACCAACAAAACAGACCCAGACGTTCACCACGTACTCCGACAATCAACCGGGTGTGCTTATCCAGGTCTACGAAGGAGAGAGAGCGATGACGAAGGATAACAACATTCTCGGCAAATTCGAGCTGACGGGTATACCTCCGGCGCCTAGGGGCGTACCGCAAATCGAAGTCACCTTCGATATCGACGCTAATGGTAAGTTGTGATGCTCCAAACATTAATATTTTATACGTTAAATAATCGAAGATATTGTTCGATTATTTGTTATTTAAGTAACGTTTTCTCTAATCCAATGTATTTTGTCTTGCAGGCATATTAAATGTCTCTGCGATCGAAAAATCTACTGGCAAAGAAAATAAGATCACGATTACCAACGACAAGGGTCGTTTGTCGAAGGAGGACATAGAAAGGATGGTGAACGAAGCCGAGAAGTACCGATCGGAGGATGAACAGCAGCGTGAAAGGATTTCCGCTAAGAACGCTCTTGAGTCGTATTGCTTTAACATGAAGAGTACGATGGAGGATGACAAAATTAAGGATAAGATCGACGCGTCTGACAAGGACAAAGTCATGTCCAAATGTAACGAGGTCATCTCCTGGTTGGACGCCAATCAATTAGCGGAGAAAGAAGAATTCGTTGATAAGCAGAAGGAATTGGAGGCCATTTGCAGTCCTATCGTCACGAAATTGTATCAAAGTGGCGGAGCGCCTGGTGGTTTCCCTGGTGCTGGCGGAGCGGGACCCAACCCTGGTGCCGGTGGTGCCGGACCAACCATCGAGGAAGTCGATTAAATTAAATGGCGAACTCCTGTTTTTTTTTCTCATATTTTCTCATGTAGCTTGACACCATTGCGTTTCATTTCGTTTTGTTTCATTCAACAACCTATCGTTAACTTAAGTTCAACATGCTCATTTTAGTTTATCTTTATAAAAAAGTTTTTTATTTTTGGAAGATTTTACGAGCTGTGTTAATGTAATTGTACCGTATTGTATTATATAGTGGTAAGTTTGGTATAATAAATATTTATTAATATTTAATTTAAAAAAATTATCGTATTTCGTCTTTCATCTTCCTTGCCGCAATAACTTTCCACTTAGCGTTGCTCATTGAATTGCATTTTCCGGTCGATAAAATTGTACAAGGATTATTAGATAAGTGGTGATCACCCCGACAAACTGAAAAATAAATTTATTTAATTGCTCCGATAGCTATTGTATTTACATGGAAATTCGAAAACAGCTAATTCTATATACGTAAATTTTAATGAAATTAAATTGTGTACTCACACCACTGAGCAGAGCATTATTCATTTCAAAGAAATCACAGGCCGTGAACGCAATTCGATGCTGTTGCAGTTGAATCGAAAAATCATTGACCTCGTTTCTGACACGGTCTCGGTCCAGGTTTTTGCGCAAGAGATTTTCCATGACGACGTAGTTCAGGTTGTAATTGCTGCTCCGATTAGAATTTTGCTCGCCGTCCGGGCCATCCAACAGCGGTGGCACTTCTAGACCTGATTGATTCCTCGCACCGTTTAGTTTACCAAGATTCGCAGGCTTGCAGTTCAGCACAGTTGCATATATAATTATCCCGGTTCTATTGAATTCTTGTCGCGCGAGAGTGCAAATACAGCACATCAGACCAAACTGCGCGGCATACAGAATCCAAAGGATATTATTTATCAGCATGAACGCGTAGTTCTTCTCGACGACGCCCATGTAGATTCTGAATAGTGTAGCCACGACCATGGTGAAGCAGTTCGCCGAGCAGAGGAGGAGATGAAAGCCGTAAATGTCGTTTACCATGATGACCAGATCACAAATACCTGCGCAACAAAATTCAAATGATTCGACAACGGTCTCGATATTGATATAATCATCGCAATTTCTTCATAGATTGTATTAAATTACACCAAATATATATATGTACACGAACGCGTCGAATTACAATTCATAAAAACTTACCGGTATGCAATTCTCTGATGCGCCGAATTTTGAGCGCGATCCACGGTGCGCCAAAGCGCTCGTCCAACTGACCGATCAATTCATTTATCGTTTGGAATCTGTGATACAGCACATAGACGACAACGTCGAAGACGAAGCTGTTGATCAACGACTGGGCTATCGTGTAATAGAGCAGCAAGTCGGACGCGAAGATGTCTTCGGGACGTATGAAATAGTAATACAAAGCGTGCACGATCAGGGACAAAGGTCCACAAGCGAACGTCGCGAGAATCGCTAGCGCTTGCACGTTTTTTATGGGCCGGTCGCTCATGGGGGTTTCCCTCCTGATCTTCTGATCCAGCTCTTTCACTCGGTCCATCAGCTCCGGCCACTTGTCGTATTGTCTGATCCCGTGATAAACGTAATAATACGCCGACACGTAGCACATCACTTTATTCATGTAGTACATGATCTTGAATATGTCGCTCTTGAAGACGCTACCGAAGGTGAAGAAATCTATCGCGCCGTACGCCACGATAACGGAACACACGGCGAAGTGAACGATACGTAGGATTATTGTGACGGCCTTCGGACACTTTCGCGGACGAGGGACGCCAACGCCGAGGAGCCAGGAGGTGTACGATATTGGACGTAAGCTGTGCTCTATCGAGGGTGAATTGCTTTCCACTTGCACATGGATCTCCTCCATTTTCGCCTCGCAGCGTCTTGCTAATCGACACGATGCGTCTTGCGAGCGAGTATGGATGCAAATTATTACATTGAAGTTCCTCGCAATACAAGATATTTTGAAGAAAGAACAGTGAAGGTTTTCTGGGAACACGGCGAGGCACTCTGACAAGCATCGTATGTTCTCCTTGGTGTTTCACGTAGAATAAAGGACGATATATATTACTTCTGCAACATTAACGAAGTTTAGATTGCGTGTCATTAGCTGCCCCTCATACCTAACGCGGTTTTAGTAAATTAAATGGATCTTCTCGGGCGAA